CTCCCCTCCCCCTAGATGCCCCCTTACCCAACCCGTCTGCCTCCCTGCCAACAGAGAAAAGAAGACCTGCTTTGCAAGGACGATTTTAACACAACAATATCAAGCTTGACAGATAAAAAAGGCTGTTAAAAGTTTCCTTTCCAACAGTTTCCAAGATCACAACTTAACTAATCCAGATACATTGCCTCCTCACTTGGGATGCTGGGAGATGCCAGGCTCTTTCAAGTGCTGCTTAAAAGAGGAGTGACTTGTACTAAGCAGCGAGATAAATCCATCCCAGCTTTCTACATTGTGCTAGTCAATAACCTCACATGCTTTTCCCCTTTCCAGATGAAAGCCCTCATATTCTACTTGGTCTTGACTTCAAAATTTACATAAAACAATTGGTTAGCTGAATCCTCTCTTTTTCCTAGCTTTTCTCCCATTCATAGACCCTTTTCACAATGCTCCCATGTCTTCCATAATGTATTGATCAGATGACCATCTTTCTACAAATATGTCTTTTCTTTAGAGATCTTATTCAAATGAAATTGATAAAAACGCTACAAATTATCTTGATGAATAAACATCAACTCCCCCCACTCAACAAGAAGGTTGAAAAAACTTTCCTAAACAACAATGTACCAGCGGCTAACCAAAATTTAAAAAGTTTAATTTTATTGATCTCAAACTTAAATGATTACAATGATTACAATTAGGGCCTATTTATAGATGAAGACCATAAGAATTACAATAAAAATCAAATTCTAAAATTTAAGAAACTTATCTTGAATTCCTATCTAAGACTTTAAAGAAAATAATAAAATAAAAATTTGTAAATTAACATAAATTATGACTCTTCTCTCTTGAATGGATGTTGGAATCTTCTCCACTCAAGTTAGGGAGTATATGTTGTTCATCTCTAACTTGTCAATAAAAGTTTGGAGTGTTGAATTATTTATACATTTAGTTAAGACATCTACCAATTGAGAATTGATAGACATGTATTGAGTACATATTAGCTCGTTGTTAAGTTTTCTTTTTATGAAATATCTGTGGATCTCAATGTGTTTGGTCCATTTGTGTTGTACCAGATTGTGAACGATGTTTATGGTGGGCTTGTCACAATAAGTTTTCCCAATTGATTATAAGATCGTCCAAAATTTTCTCTATCCATAATAGTTCATATACCCCTTGCATCATTATCCGGAACTTTAATTCTGCACTTGATCTTTCAACTTCATTTTATTTATTACTTTTCTAGGCGATTAACTTACCTACAAGGAATATACAGTAACCTGTAATAAATCTTCTGTTTACAATTGATCCTACAGAATCTGCATCAATATAGACTTCTAAGAGCAATTTTTCATTTTTCTTAAATATAATTTTTTTTTTCTAGATGACTTTTTTAAGTATTGCAGTATTCTGTAGGTTACTTGTAAGTACACTTCTTTCGGATTATACAAAAATTGGATTTTAATACTTATTTCATATATCATGTCTGATCTCTTGTGGTAAATTAATTTCTCAACTAATCTCTAATACATTTCCTTGTTTATTAGTGTATCTTCTTCCATTATTCCTAATTTATTATGAGGATCAATAAGAGTGCTAACACCTTTGCATGCTAGCTTGCTAG